AGACATAGAGAGAGACATAGAGAGAGAGACATAGAGAGAGAGACATAGAGAGAGAGAGACATAGAGAGAGAGACATAGAGAGAGAGACATAGAGAGAGAGAGACATAGAGAGAGAGACATAGAGAGAGAGAGAGAGACATAGAGAGAGACATAGAGAGAGACATAGAGAGAGACATAGAGAGAGACATAGAGAGAGACATAGAGAGAGACAGACAGAGAGAACCACTTAAAAGTATATCAGCAGCTATAACTGAGCTTTTTCATCACATCTGATGCTTGCTTCAACACCTTCAAGTATGGAACATTCCCTTGACGTCAGCTCGTTGGAGGCCTGCACATCTAGATGTACCAATCTGGGGCTGACTGAAGTAGCTATGCAGCACACGAAATTGGCACCGACGCCACCATAGGCGCCGGTCAGGCGGCCCGTGTCGTGGAACGAACAGCACGACAATGTAAGAACTGCCAGTTGTTACCATGCACACGATGCCAAAAGCTAGACTTACGGGACCAGATAACTTCAGCAAGTGATGTGATTTTGCAAGGCGGGTGTCTGTTGATGAGTGGTATCTAAATTGCGCATATCGTGGCTGAAAGTGGCGTGAACATACGATCACAGATTACCAAGGCATAACCTTTTCGAAACGCGACAGCCGGGCAGGGCCGGGCCGAAACACTCAAGCTTAATTTGTTTAGTAGCAGCTTAATTAAGACTCACACAGTCTGCAGCCTCGTCCATAGTAACGCGCGCGCTGGACGGCTGAATGGTCATCTGCTGCACTTGGAACCCAACGAGTCGATAGCACAAACGGGGGAGCATTATCCTTCTTCCGCCAAACGACCAGGGGTGCACTATCCTTCCTCCGCCACACGACCACGGGTGCACTTTCCTCCCTCCGCCACACGACCAATGGTGCACTATTCCTCCTCAGCCACACTACCAGGAGCGCACCCATTTGTCCCTCCAGCAGCAAGGGTGCAGGAAGCAGCCTCCACCGACGAGTCCCCCCCCCCCCCCCCCGAGCGCACGGCGCCACTCACGCGACCATGGGGTGCAGCTGTTCGCCGATGACCACCTTCTTGGCCTGGTTCTGGCCGCCGCGCACCAGCTGCATGTACTCAGCCACGGCCGCCCGGGCCGGCTGCGACAGCTGGCGCGCCGCCGCGTCACACACCCAGCAGTGCACCCCGCGCCGGCCCGAGTACACCCACAGCAGCTGCTCGAACCCGAAGTCCTCTGCGGGGCGCGACAAGCGGCAGGTTAGAGGCGGGGCACGGCCAGAGACGGGCGTCGGCGCGAGCGATGGCTCCACTCGGCTATGTGCGCGCGCGCGCCTGTGCATTGGTGTGTACGGACAGGCTCCGAATACCAACCGCAACTGGTTGAGGCTGGCAAGGCACTGCAGGACGTATTCATGCATGGATTACAGATGGCGGATATACAACAATGAAGACGAGGGGCGCCACGGGCCACTCCGCACACCAACGCATGTTAAGCAAACTTCGCGCTAGTGGACAACACGTCAACCACTTCACGTCGGCCTCTTGCAGCACAGCACCTCCCGCTGTCAGTCTCATTCACGCGAGCGCAAATCAGCCATTTGAGTGTCAGTGGGCATGTCATACATTTACCACACGTACTTCTCAGGGTATCATCCATGCACTTGACGGCGATGGTCATGAACGTCCAGCACTTGCGACAGATGTCAGCCCCGCTGCAGCAGGTGCGCACCTCGTCGTAGTCAGTCATGTCGATGTCAAACACCAACTCCTTCTCCTGCGGCTGGAACACGGGCACGGAGGCGCGCTCGCGGGGCCTGCAACGGTGTCCGGTCGGCATGAGCGGCGACGCCCGCCGCTGGCCGCGGACGGGCTCGGTGCATCACAGACTGCCCCACCTGGCTCTGTGCTCTATCTGCCGACTGTCGGGGGCCACGCACGCTCGCCTTACATGACGCACGCTACATGGCCATGGTAGGTGCTCAACAGCAGCGCCTCCTGATCTGACACGGATCAGAGTTGACATGAAATGGATGGTTTAAAATGGGGAAATCTGCAGGGTGCGTATCTTCATTCAATCTTTGGAGTATGGCACGAGGACGAAGGCAGAATCCGAGCTTCAAAAAGCGTATTCAGGGGAGTTGGAATGACTGTCCGCATGTCGTCGATGGTGTCAAACGTACACCATGCTTCAGTCGTTTGTTTCTTTCGCCACTCTCAGGCACTGCCAGTAAACAAACACCTGCCAACGAATCACAGCCGAAAGCCAGGAAAACAAGTGACGAGATGGTAAGCCCAAATCAACCCCACTGACGGAAACGCTACCGTCATTCAGGGTAACTTTAGCATATTTTTAGATATTTTTATGCCTCCTTCTTTTGTTGGGGTCAGCAGGTTTAACTTGTTGGTTGGAAAGCTAGTGGAGAGATGGGTTATTTTGCTTGGTTTGTACAGATTGTTGGCTCTGCTTGTTGAATGTTGATTTTTTAAAAAATGTGGTGGCTAAAGTTAACTGGATCCCAGCTAACTTTAGCCACCCAAAGTCACTATCAGGATTCATGACAATTTTTGGGCAATGGCTTAAGATAGGTTAGATCTGTTTAACTTTAGCAAGTCAAAAAGTTCGTTAAAAATAATGACCAACATCAGAAAACAATCTGCTGTGTATTATTCATGACATTGAGCCTTAATGTCACAAGTAGCCACAAATGTTCTACCAGAAACCTGAATCAGTTAACTTGAAACTGAACCTGTAACTTTTTAAACTTGAAGTACAAACAATAGAATTATTGTCTGTCCCACTCACCCATTACATTAAGAATACAATTATATAGGTTATAACAATTATATATGGTACAAAAATACAACTATATAACAATATAACAATAATTATATTGTTGTCACTATATAAAATAACAATATAATAACAATGTAACAATATAATTTCTATGGGGATGAGGATGCAGCATGATGCAAATCAGGATACCTTATGGACTAGGCTTTGACCTGGAACAGAAACGAATGGATGAGGAAAGGTCATGACACTCAAAACAAAGGGCATGACACACCTCATCCATACACACACCTCCCAACCAGTCACCTCATCCATATCAACACCTCCCAAATAATCATCTCATCCATACCAACATCTCCCAACTAATCACCTCATCCATATCAACACCTCCCAACTAATCATCTCATCCATACCAATACCTCCCAACTAACCATCCCATTTGCACTAACACACTGCAAATAACAATCACACATATACTAACATTTTGCCTCAACCCTTCCATAACACGATCCTTATAGCCACCCCAACTTAGAGCACTCGCAAAACAAACAAGCATCACGAAGTAGCCCTGGACCACAATTGATGAAGACTTTAACAGCCAATGCCTGTGCCTTGTCTATGATCAGGCAGCCCAGCTGGTCACGCCTGGCAGCATCGCTTGAGCCACCTACGCCACAACGCTACTGCGCTCGGACCGTCACCGGCTAACAGTGGACTGACCGGAGCAGTTGCGCCCTGCCCCCCCCCCCCCCACCCAACCACATGCAGGATCCCCCTCCGAAACCGCCGCCGGCCGCCACACCTGTGGTTGTACACGGCGCCGATGTCGATCTTGTGGGGACACTTCTTAAGCAGCTCCTTGTGGAGCTCCTCAGCATCCTTGAAGGACTGGTACCGGATGTAAATGTCGTCTGCCAGGGTGAACGACATCTCCCGCCGGTCCAGGTAGGTCTTGACCTCTGCAATGTTAACATGGTGTGGAAGCTACAGCCTGACTGCCCATGCATGGTAGCTGACCACAGTACTGCATTTATTTATTTCCCTTGCATCCAGATCGCTGCATGGCATACTGATGGATAATTTGTACACTGGTACAGCTGGATCTGATGGGGGGGGGGGGGGGTATCAGATAGCATTTCTCAGAAAAGTATGTATCAGTTGATAATTCAAATGTTCCTTGACATCATAACTGCTCAAATCATGCCAAATTGTGGATGGTAACAAAAATCTTCTTGGTAGGTCACGGGATCATGCATATGTTGACATGATTTCCTGGCCATCCAACACTACAACAGCCCATTCAGGAACCAAAATAAGCCAGCAAAAGGCAAACAGCTGGCAAGCCCAGATGCAGCCAAACTTCCCTACCCAAACTAAAATGAACCTTGATTTAGCCATTCAGTTAAGAAAGTTGATATGATTAAATGTGACTTAAGAATAATTTTGACCATGGACCTAAATGGGCATTTAATACAGACTCACACTCAAATAGCATTACCTTGGCAAAACTCAGAGTAGCCCTGATTTGACCATCAATAATCAGCCTCCTCAGTTTTCTATCAGAATGAAAGCTGGGCTCACAAGATACAGGCAAGGCAAAAGAGACAATCTTCAAACTGGGAAAGGCTTTTTAAAAAAGGGACATGACACATGACCACTCTCCCTGCCAGCAGCTGCATTGGCCATGTTAGTGTTTGCAGGTCAAGGTGCAACCAGAATTAGAACCAGAGCCCCACAACTGGGAGTTTGACCCTCTCACCATTCAAAGCTCTGCTCCTGTCAAAGCTCTGACAGGATCTTAGTGGGATGGTAGCAGTACCCAAACTATTGGGCACTGCAGCTTCCCAAAGTTGTTTGTCATGATGTATGTCATGGTCTGCACACTGGTGCAAGGGGATGGCCAATGAGAGGAAGGACTTGGACAACATCCTGGAAACAGAACTACCCCTGAAACATCATCATTTTTAAAATAATACCCATTGTGATGTTTGGTCCCTGGTGCCACTGCTGACATGAATCACAAAAAGCATGTGAAATGCTGAATTCATATATCAAAAGAAGCTTATGTACTTAACAGCAATACATAACAGAGGACTACATTAGGTGCTCAGAAAGGGGCATCATTTCACAAAATACATCAACAAGGGCTGAGCAGTATGAAATGTCAACACCTAATCTCAAAATAGGCCAACAAATGAGTTTCTCCTCATATTTGGTCAACTTGCTCCCTCAAGCTGGTATGGCCAGTATCTAAGCTGCATTCATTGTGGGTAGGGGTTGGGATGGCCGGAGGCCATTTACCAAATGGGAAACTACATATGGATACCTAGACACAACTTATCAGCCGACAATACGTCAAGATGTCAACAATCCACTCACCCCCTCCATAGTTGAGCCACAGACAAAACTGCTCCAGAGGGAAAAATCTTCTGTAATACACTGGCAACAAGTCTAACAAGTCATTCTCGTCGAACATTGTGATTCTCGGCAGCACTTAGACCGCAATTTCTACCATGCGCAGCGCAGATGCCGACCGCACGCCGAACACAGACGGTCAGCAGAGCAAAGAGCAGTGTCGGCACTCAGCAGCAGCACACTATTTCAAAAGCTACCAATGGTTCACAAAAGAAACACAGCAACTGCGTGCATAACTACAGGCACAAAACGGGGCAGTGTTCTGGGACCCCTTTTGCGAACAAGCAAGGGGAGCAAAACGCGAACCAGCTTTGTCGTGCGCCACATTGTTAGTGCGCCAAATATCAATATGTTGTACTTGCGCGCCATATTTACGGCAGGAATTAAATGACTGACGGAACGTGCTGACAATCTAATGCTCCGAGCCTATGGGGCTGCTCAGCATCAAACCTTCACTATTCGATGCCACTTGGTGAATAAGCCAAAGCTAACCAGTAAGCTGATCTTGGCTCAGGCCAAAGATCCTCAAAAATGCCCTGAGCTGGAAATGTAATGCCGCAATCAATCCTACGCCGACAGTCTCTAGAATTGATCGTCACGCAAAGCGCCACCAATCGATGCGCCTTTAGCCGACAACTTGCCATTGCTAGCAGTGGCGGTCCTCGAATTTCGTCAAGAATGGCAATGGAAAACCGTAGCCCCCTGGAGTTTTGGACTCCTTCAAAAAATGACTGTACTCTGGCCATGTAATTTTAAGGTTCTTATGCAGGGCATTTGGTACCCGGGAGCCCGTATTGGTGCGCACGACCCTAGAAAACTAGACGGGCTGTGTGTGCATAAATTTAGCACATCTATTTTCTCCAGATCATAGTGGCTCCCGTGAGCGTTGGAACAGGGGGGGGCAGGGGGCCATGCCCCCCCCCCCACTTTTCAGGGGGGGGGGCAGCAGTGTTAACTGGCCCCCAGTTTTCAGATTAAGGTTGTCTGTAGCTTATTTTCGCACTGCGTTAAACACACATGGCGATTTGCATATTTCGCCAGCCATCTTTCTCAAGTTGTGTGATCTTTTTCGTTCGCTCACTGGCCATCGCTTAGTGTCACAGCTTCAAGGCCGACGGCGCGCGGCCCATGGAGACTGCAACACCGAGCGTCGAGACCGTTGTTGCTACGACTTGCAAGCTCGCGTGTTCAAAACCATATTACATAATTTTTATCGGTAATCAATTCTAACTGAATCTTGAGCATTTTGAAATCAGCATGGATTCGCCATGTTGATACAAATTTGGGACCCTCTCTCATCTACAATCTACGTTCAGGGGTCCTCAATATTTCTGAAGAACACAGAAAAGCATGGGACCGGAGTCTATGTGACAATTACTGGACCACCTGCGGCGATCAGGGATGTTGTTGCTTTGATGAGGGTTCCTGTGTCGATCCGGGGCCAACTGCGCGAGTCAGAAGGCTTGCCGTGTCAGGGAGGCCTTCTGAATAATGTAATTTGATACATATTTCCTATGGCCTCCGGATCGACAAGGGAATCCTGCCCCCTGTCGCCAGAATGACAGCCAGAAGACACTTTGCGAAAGGACGGACTGGCCCCTTAGCCTTTGACCGGAAACGGTAATCTACCTCTAGTGTTCTATTCAAAGGGCCCCTTGCCCGGAAGGAAGTAAGGGGTCTCATTATTGTTGAGTAGGGTGGGGTCTCATTATTGTTGAATAAAGTGGGTCGAAATGAGCTTGAGAAAAATGAACAAGGCCATCCCATGTTTGCCTGAGAAGGGTCATTTTTTCAGAATGGATTAGTGAAACAAATAACATCAAATGGTTTGAACATGCCCGCCTGCAGCCTCGAGAGCAAGGACATCGATGAGCTGGGCTGCAGCTTCCGCAAAACCGAACGGCTTCGGCCACTACAAGTGCCACCAGACGGCGGGCGCCGTGTCAACGTGTCTTTTGGGCAGATTAATAATTACAGAAATAGGAAAAATAGAGATTCTACCTTTACTCTTCCAGTTCAGCTACCAGCTACCAGCCCCACTTCGCGGTACTTTGTGGGCCAATTCATTATCATCAGTCTAAAAATCGCACACGTGAAATATACGCGCAGACTGTGTTTTAAATGTAAGATTTGATGTAATGAAGCGTTCAAAGGAACTGCTTTCATGAGCGTCATCATTTTCTTCCACACGTTGGCCACGGCTCAGTATTAGCTGCTGGGCCGACGCTGAGCGGTGTACGGAGACTGCAACGTCCGCGATCGAGGTTTTTGTTTCTAATATTCTCGGGCGCGCATGCTCAAAACTACGTCACATATTTTGTATTACTAATCGGTTAGTGTTTTTAAAGGTAATTATTTCAGAAGTGTCATCATTTTCGTCCACCGGTGGACCAACGCTAAAAATTAGCCACCGTGCTAACGCTCCGCGGACCATGGAGACTGCAACGCCTGATATGGAGGTTTTTGGCGTTAAGATTTGCGAGCTCGCATGTTCAAAAAACACGTTTCATAAGTTGTATCAACAATCGGTTCTGACTGAATGCCGAACATTTCCAGACAAGCATGGTTTAGCCACGTTAGTACACATTGTTACCACTCGATCTGCAATCAAATTTTCATCTTCAAATTTTGATCAAACACATCGATCTAACTCACTATCGCAATGTCCTTAATGTCTGTAGAACCCAGATAAAAATTCTGACAAAGTTTTTGAATTACTGTCGGTTTAGAAAGTCGTCTCTGTTTAATGATGGGTAATGAAATGCTAGTTGGGCCAATTCATACCTAAAGTACGCAGCTTCCCGGAGTCTATTTTTGTCCAACGAATGTTTCACACACCAATTAGTAGTAATGCTGATCCAGAAATATGCAATAAAGCAGCTATGCGATCAGTTCACAGTCAGTCACGCGGGAGTCAGCCGGGCCAGGGCAGTGGCCGTCGACGGCGGACGGCAGCAGGGCCCAGATAAGAAATATATGACAGACAGGCCTTTATTCTGTGGCTTGGTTTTTATAAGAGAATCTCCAGTTTTACGGTTTTTGTCACATTTTTTGACGATTTCAAGCCTCCGAGTTTGTTTGCTCCTAAAATACTGCGAAAAGTCTTATCTTTTGGAAAGAGGCCAGCGAAATCAAGGCGCATAAAAAGCTGTCGCAGTGTGAGCCATTGGTTCACGTTCGAAATTTTTACAAGCCCATGTCAAGGCCATATTTTTACATCTACCCTGTGAAGGCAGATACCTCCTTAATAACCCAAAATGCTTACCCGCTCGTGAAATTTCGCCTACCCAGAAAACACAATGTTAAAATGGACGAATAATCTTGGGAAGCTGGATAACCTTATTTGCCGAATGACATAGATGACTCGAATGGGCAAGATTGTGCACTAGTAAGAAACAGCTTTAAATGCATATCTAGCACGGCAGCCATGACATTTCAATAAAAAACGACGACAAACTCCATGTCTACTCCCCCTCCCCCCCCCCCTGGTCATCGGGCTTGCTTTGCAAAAATAGTTCCTGAATTACAACCTGAGCTTGCCCCCCCCCAATTTTTGAAACGTTCCTGCGCCTGCGGTGGCTCCTGTCATTTAGAGGCCAAGGCTTTAGAAAATGTTTGGAAAAATAAACTGAAGTTGGCTGTCAAAGCCATCAAAATCAAGCAAGACACTTTATTCAAAAATAAATTTAAGGCAACCCAGCTCGTTGATGTGATCAGGTGATGGATAACGAATAATGCAGAGTTTTTGCTTTGACTGCTATGGAGTACAAAACATTCGAGCTGAAAGATGTTAAAAAATACGATGCAGAAATATAACAAATATCACAAATTCAATAGCCAACGGAAGTGATACATACGACGTCGGCGGTGCGTAAAATTGTCTTCGACGTTTGCGCGCAAAAATTCATCGGCCCTGCTGCTCTCAGACCAGGGCATCACGCAAAATCTGCATCTTGTGGATCTGGGACGGCCCTACCGTTCCGCCAATACTACGGTTACCCACTTCATCCTATCCTAGCGGCTCACATGAGTGTTGATGTTCGGTGCAATGGAGTCATTATGTGCCGAGTTGTTTGTCGGACCTGAAAAATACTCATAATCGAGCCCTAAAATTGCGATTGTATGCATTCGAGAGCGTCAGCGCAGGGCTGTCAGGTGATAGTACCACACCCTCGTATTTCAGTTTCGACGTTGTCCTGTTCCCCCCTCCCCCCCCCCCCCCCAACAGTATCACTCAATGTTTGGGGTCGACGAGGGCGGTGGTTTGCATCAATATGACATTAAATTGTAAATAATTTTACTCTTGCATGGAATGTGCAGCTTGACGCACATTATGTCCGTGTCAGAGCGCTATTATAGGCCGACAATGTAGATCTCTCATCAGCCTGACACGACTTTCGCTGTTCCAATCACAGCACACCTGACGGCGCATTGCTGACTGCGGCTGGCCTGCCCGTGAAGGCCGTGTACGGCGGGCAAGAGACATACTTGTGAGCCAACCCGAGGATTGCAACACAGCGAGTTCCAGAGCAGCGCATGCATCGGGCTGTCAGCCGCAAGCACAAAACGCTTTTTACATTTTTGTCTCTATGTTTTCCGTCGGTCCAGTAACAGTGTATGATTCCATGGGCATTGACCGGATTGAGTGGTGATTTGCACAACAATTTGAGTGAAATTTGAGACGGTGTTAAATTTGAAACGACATGAGCGCACGGGGTGCAACCTTGTGCACAAGATGCCACTCTGAGAGCACTATTGGCCGGCAACGTAAATCTCTCGCCGACCAACATGATCTTATTTGTTCGCATCACCCCTTGATTGGACCTGAGTAACTCCGGCCAGTCTGCCCACAGAGTGGTGGCCATATTACTGCTCCACGGCAAAAATACTCATAATCGGGCCCGGAAATTGCGACGGTGTGCATTCGGTTGTGTTAGTGGAGGGCCATCAGCTGCCAGCAGAAACGATGTCATTGTGGGAGTGCTATCTGCCGACATTGCAAATATCGCAACGAACGACGTCACCTTTTTCCAATCATCCATTGACGGCAAGTATAACTCCAGTTTACCACAAAGGATGTCAAATTGATAAATAATCAGGTACTGGAAATTCCGTGCTGCTGCATCCGTTCGTTTTTGACTTTTGCTTGAAAAACCACAGCGGTAGGAAGTCAACTTCTCCTCAGGCCGGTTCCGGGTTAATGTCCTTACGCTCCATTCGCATCGCCTGCCGCGATTCGAAATTGTTCTATCCCCAGCAATAAATTTGCATAAGCATGCCGTTGGCGGCGTGCCGCCAGAACCTTGCGCTGTTTACCATGGACGGAACCAGTCTGGGCAATCACAAAATACGTCGTACATCCGACGAGCGGACCTGCAGCGAAGATTATGTTTGGCGCTAATTTCGCCGTTTAAAGGAAGTGTTTGTGAAGTCTCTCTGCACCTCGTACTGCCACGACACGGGGTGATAACACATTAACTCTAAATGCATTGTGTATCAACACTGGTCTTGACGGTGCTACCTGTGAACAAGCGACACCGCAAAACACGCTGGCGAAATGGTAAACCGATGCGACCGTGGCGGATTCGTCATGAGTCATTTATTAAAATTATCGCTTCTGACCATCCAAGGACAATGTGGTATATTCCGAACCCAGTAAAATGTAATATAACACAGCAGGTATTGTGCATGGGCTGAGCATGTATATTTTCATCCAGTCACTATCGCAGGTATGCACGTAGAACAGGAGACAATCATGCATTACTAGCCGCAGAACCGCACGCAAGAAATATATAAAAACACGATAATAGACAACGCTTATGGCAAAAAGGGCATCAATCACGGTAGGATACCAGGTCACGTAATCATGTTTTAAGAGTAACTTCAACTTATTTTTTAGTTAAGTTCCATGCCCGACGGCTCAGAGGTAGCTTGTTCTCCACGGCTCCACGGGAGGGGGGGGGGGGGGGCACGGTACGCAAACCGTCTTCTGCCAGCCTCGCAGCGGATGCGTGGGGATTGAAGGAAAGCGTCCCGCCTTGTAAGCCCACAGCGAAATGTCGAACTTTGGTTGGAATAAGAAGCTAAAGGTCACAGGTCACCTCACCGGCAGAAAATATGGATACACGCAAAAGAGTGACGAACAGACAAGATCTCAGATATGAGGAAGCCTTGCGATCTGAAATCCAAAGCATCTGTGCGCAACGTATGCTTCATGGATATGCCACGAATGAAACACACAGAAAACTTCATCCAGGGACGATGTCTTGCGATGAAATCACGGAGTAATCTGGATAGCCCGGCGGCTCGGAGCCCCGCGCACGGCTCCGCTGACGGCACCTGAGGGGCCGGTCTGAAGCCTCACACGCAGCTCCAGCCGGTCTGAAGCCTCACACGCAGCTCCAGCCGGTCTGAAGCCTCACACGCAGCTCCAGCCGGTCTGAAGCCTCACACACAGCTCCAGCCGGTCTGAAGCCTCACACACAGCTCCAGCCGGTCTGAAGCCTCACACGCAGCTCCAGCCGGTCTGAAGCCTCACACACAGCTGCAGCCGGCCTGAAGCCTCACACACAGCTGTGGCCGGTCTGAAGCCTCACACACAGCTCCAGCCGGTCTGAAGCCTCACACACAGCTCCAGCCGGTCTGAAGCCTCACACGCAGCTCCAGCCGGTCTGAAGCCTCACACACAGCTGCAGCCGGTCTGAAGCCTCACACACAGCTCCAGCCGGTCTGAAGCCTCACACACAGCTCCAGCCGGTCTGAAGCCTCACACGCAGCTGCAGCCGGTCTGAAGCCTCACACACAGCTCCAGCCGCGCACCGGCACGTCACTCACTCTTGCAGCTCTGCCAGCGCCTGCAGCTGGTCGGCCAGCTGCTGCAGCTGCTCTGCCAGCACGTGCAGAGGCATCGTCTGTTGGCGCCCGGTGGAGGACGCGCGTCGCAGCAGCCGCGCGTGGTCGTCGGCGCTCGGCGGGGCCGGATCGTGCGCCTCGAGGAGCCGCCTCTCGCCGACGTGCGCAGTCTCTGCGGTCCTCGACTCGAGGATGGGGCCGAGGCGGCGCCACAGCCGGCGGGCCACGCGGAAGCGGCGCTGCGAGCCTCCGACCGTGGCGCTCACTGTCTTGCTGCTCTGGTGTGTGGGAAGAAGCGTGATCACTGGGGTGGCAGTCTCGCTGGCGGACGGACGCGGCAGCACGCTGCGCCACTTCAGCCACAGCGAAACAGATGCTATCCAGATGAACAGGCATCTAGGCAGCGTGCTCCTCAGCAGGTGAATACGCCTGTCAAACGCGAAGGCCGATCGCTGATTCCAAGCGGTATTGTACGCCAAACTCTTCAAAAACTCGGCCCCACCTTTGGAGAGGAACGACCGTGTGTCGCTGATGGTCAGTGCCAACAGCAAGTTCAGCATTACCAGGGGCACCAACAGGACGAACAAGATGAAGAGAGCGGTAAAAAGTGCATAGCCAACACCAGATTGAGGAATGACCTTGGTTGCTTCCATGACGTCGACTTCACCGAGCATCATGGCTGCCATGTTGGACACTAACACGCTTCCCCTATGAAGTTGGTTATGGCCCGCGTCTGCCATCACAAAAAAAGCCAGGGAAAACCCAACAAGAATTGGCGAGTATATGATGAGATACTCCGTGATGCTCCGCGTGACGTGCAGCAGAGACGAAATCGCCCTGGTCGTCTTCCAAACTGGGATGGACTCAACAACCAGGGTCAGTTCGATAAACAGACTCAAGACCGCAAAGGAAAAGGCAATGCGTTTGCTTTTGTCATGGCGGAGACACACCGCAGCGAACGTGAGTGCTGTCGTCAAGACGCCCGGGTAAATTCTATACGTACGATAGTAGTGCCGACCCATAGAGACGAACTCTGCTAGGTGTGCGACAAGTCTAACAACGTTCAAGGCTATCACTACGATCCTTAGGGCATATACGATGCGCTTGTCCACCTCAGTGGCGTAAATATCCACCCCTATCAGACTGGACAAGGCGACGAGGAACAAGACACAGGTCACCAGTCTGACAACGCACTAGCCAAAACACTTCCTGCCTCGTCAGTTCGAGGAGCACCTCCATGACGGGGTGTCCAAGCAGCTCCCAGCAGCCGGTGTTCATCGTCTCTTGTACAAAGTCGGTTTCGAAGGGGCAGCCAATGCCAATAGTCACGAAGTGGTTTGTAGGAGATCTGCACGCCGCCTTCTTCGGCAGGCTTCACGCCCAGGTCCAGGATATGCATCAGCGTGGTGGGACTCTCACGCACGAGACACCGGAAGCCGGCCGGACTCAGCGCCGCGCCCACCTCCACCAGCTCGCGTAGGCAGGCGTCGCCACGCGCCAGGCTCAGCGGCGTGGCGCCGGTCAGATCGAGCGCGTTGACGCGCGCCCCATGGCGCACCAGTAGCTGTACGCAGCATGCGAAGCCGCCGGCCGCCGCCAGATGCAGCGGCGCCCGGTGGCCGTAGTCGATGACGTTGGCGTCGGCGCCGAAGCGCAGTAGCAGCTCCACAGTGTGCTGATCGCCCTCGGCGCAGGCTATGTGCAGCGCCGTGCGCCGCAGCCGCAGGGTGAAGGCGTTGACGAGCGCGCCGCCGCGCAGCAGCCGCTCGCAGCATGCCAGCCGGCCCGTACTGGCCGCCAGGTACAGCACCGACAGGCCGAAATGGTTGGCCTCGTTGGGCTCGGCACCGTGCGCCAGCAGCAGCTCCACGGCCTCGGGCGAGTCGGCCTCCACGGCCAGCATGAGCGGCGTGCGTCCCAGTGAGTCCCTGGCGTTGACGCCGGCCCCCGGGGCGAGCCGCAGCAGACGCCCCACATCCTCCGGCTGGCCGGCCTGCAGAGCGGCGTGCAGCGTCGGCAGAGGGGGGTCAGCCGACAGCGGCGGGCCGGTGGCGGTCACGCCCGGTCCTGGGGACAGGTTGAGAGGCGCGTCAGACGAGCACGCTCTGCAGGCAGCCGACAGCGGCACCCGGCCACCGTGTCATACAACTCCACGATCTGGCGCAGTCTGCAAATCATACAACCGGAATGCACACCCAGCCTTCGGCAGTCAGTCGCACTACCGGTGTCCAAAGCCAAACCCCGCTTGTCAAATAATCACCACATCATCTCCAGGCGCTTTGCGATAGCGCAGACTTGGCTCCGGCACCCCGCATTCAGGGTGAGCGGGTGCGCGTGGACACTGGATCACCACCTGTCACCGACTTCAATCCCTATTTACCTTACCTGTGTAGTCTCTATGCCGGGGATGGGGATCATTAGAGACTGTGACAGCTTAGGAACATTATCATGTAAGCCCAAAGGTTAAGAAGTGAATGTGAAGGAGACATTGACGTATAAATCTCCGAGTTTAAACACTGCACTACTTACCAGCTGAAATTCGGGTTCGCAACAGATGACAATTGCTTCATATTTATTGTTCTTTAAACCGGTATGCAATCGACGACCAACTTATTGCCGTTCAGGGTAAAAACAAATCAATGGGATCTCTTCTAGATCGGTCACAGATGAAATTTGCGCATTGGCGGATCGGCGGCGGCGGCATTACACGGCGGCGCGCCATGGGCCGACGCGGCGGTATGTCGGGTGACCGGGGGCGATCGACTCACTCCGTCGAGAACTGTTACTGGGCCTTTAAAGCAACTGGGATTCTGAAACAACATCTAAGTGGAGAATGCATTATTATCGATCTGCATCTCTCATCCACACCGAGTCACAGAGTAGAAAGTCAAATCATATTTCAACGACGTGTGTGCGACCAGATATCATCAAATCCAAACAAGCTGTTCATAGCAAGTTATCTCACTGATCATTTGTCCATGCCAGTTGATGTGAATACAGAAAAGTAAAATAAGCAGGTTCAAATCTTTGCCGTTTTTTGTGCACCGTAATCTTGAACAACTAAGTCGTTACAATCAAGGTTTCGCGCTGCATCCATTCCTCGCAGGATTACTTAGAATGTTTGAGCAACCATGCTCACTGATGTAACCGCAGCTGAGACGCGTTTCCCCAGCGTTGGTGACGACTGCAGCTGTGCATGTCCTTTAGCGTTCGTGCGTTTTCAGTTTTTTTTTTAAACCCGCTTTTTAAGCATTGCTTCTTCTTGCGGATTTAATCATATGTTACATAAATGAGAAGTGCGGCTATGAATGAAAATCAAACGGTAAGGCTAAGCTACATTAAGTATTAAACAACTTACAGCATTAGTTGTAAAAGCGTAGTAAATGCACGTGCGCATGGCATGCAAGACGTGATTAATGCGCGCAGATGTATATCTCTCTGTGTGGTGCTCCGTCGGGCATTTAATGAGCTGCCACCACAATATATATGTTTACTTACCAGCCATGTGGTCGGTGCAGTTGCGAACCATGTCAAGTGACGCCAGGATTTCATCCTGTCCCGGGCATTACAGGTTTTCATTTCTTGTCAAACGTTAAATAGTGCCCTCACTTCGTTACATGCCCCTTTGTCATGAAAGGTAGCGAGGGAGTGCAATACACATGGTGACGCATGCTGAATAAAGTTACATTTGTTTTACATCGGGTCAGGCCACAATAGGTAAAGCAATGGACTTGTTTTGTACTTGGCGGAAACTTCTCAGTATGAATCGCACCTTTCACTGGTGAGTGCTTACTGCGGCTTTTAAACGGGGTTCCCCATCACTGATGGTACAGATCATTTTCCTGACGACGTCATTATCCCTTTTGTGGCATGTTAAGAATGAACATATACTGCGAAGTCGCTACTCGTCCCGACAGGTTTATCCCAATGGTAGCTTTGAACTGTGTCCTGTGCCATTATTTTTTATTAGAAAAAGCAGGTGGCCAATGGACAAACGTTCTGTCCTGCCATTCGAGACAGCAACCAGCTTACTTCGTCCCGCTTCTTGAAACGTTATGCTTTCAACACGACGACGACGAGCAATTCATTTACGAGCGCGGTGCCGCTGTCAACCTGGCACACAAACTAAACATATGTCGAGGAATTGTACTGAACTATTATATACAAAGTTTTCATAGTTTAGTCAAGATAACATAGTTTTCGAGCTCGGAGATGTCATCGTATTGCCCAGACAGAAGTATACATAGCCATATGCAAAGCTCCACGCCATATGCAACTAGAAATCGTCACACTGGAAAATGAGTGCACGTGACATTCTCCAAACGTAACCAATGAGGCATGCGTACTTTCGGAATGGAAATAGCACGCCACAGCGCGTGCAATATGCCATGAGATGCACAACAGCGCCCGCTGTTGCTTGGCTTCTGTTGTCGCTCAGCATCGACGCTCAGCCGGATGTGGTGCCACCACAGGGACAGTTCCCGACCGGCGACACATGACTACACCAGCGCCTGGTCACCAGACACTGCCACCACAGGGACAGTCCCCGACCGGCGACACATGACTACACCAGCGCCTGGTCACCAGACACTGCCACCACAGGGACAGTCCCCGACCGAGGACACATGGCAGCAACGGGGCCTCTGTTATCGCCCGCGCCGTCCGTGGAGTCAGCTGTTACTGCCCGCGCCGTCCGCAGAGTCGCCTGTTACCGCCCACGCCGTCAGCGCCGTCCGCCGATCTTGTGCACTGTTCCTAAAGATTGCACTTCTCAGAAACCAGAAGCGCAAGGGACACGTTTTTGCTGTCAAAACACACGCAATGAATGCCACAGAGGCTACCAAAAGTTTGGGCGTCAATTTTGACGGGAATTGTTACATTTATGGCTCCAAAGTTCTGATGTGGAGATAACAGCCTACAAGATGCCAGGAAATACTGGTTTGACGACGTTGCACTGCTAAACAACCATCATATTGACGGCACTCATCTATTTCAATTGGTGCTCATTCTCAAGAGTGCAAAAAAGTACAGAAGGGTTCAGTAAAACATTACTCTTGAAAGACAAGGTATGTGAATGCAGAGAAATGTTTCCAAGCAATCTGTGTAGACACTGTCCTCTAAAGATGTAAAAAAGACGAAACTCATCTAGGCTCCCAACATCCCGTAAACAGTTCACCGTTAAAAGTCGCAAAACAAGAAACACACAGGCGACTGAGCTGGAGGCTTACAAAGCCCAGCACAGCATTGGAAGCCCAAGACAGAGTACAGAAGCTCAACATAGAGTATTAGATAAGGATATGACGTACCGCATTCATCAGCCACCACGAACACTGCGTGAACCTCAGCAACATGCATAGCCAGAAGGTGTTGTTTTAATCAGTTCCCATGATGAATCAGCTCCCATGATGAATCAGCTCCCATGATGAATCAGTTTCCATGATGAACCAGTTCCCATGATGGGCTAGTTCCCATGATGAAGTCTGTACGTTCAGCATAAGGCGTCAACGAAAGGAGTGCCGATGGCCAAACGCTGTGCACCACTGCTGGTGATAGCTTTTGTAAGTGTATTAAGCAACCCTTTCCAGCTCAGTGTGGTTTCGGACCGAAGCTTGTATCAACGTTGCAGTCGATGCCATTCTCGACAGCTGGAACCATGGGTTAAGCTCCCCTGTAAGACCTCCCTGCAAAAATCAGTCAACACCACACCAGCGCTTCTTTCATACTGAAACCTCGCATACCACTCCAAGCTTGTCGATTTCATCCTTCTACGCCTTTTTGCGGTAAAGCCCGATGGAACCTATACCACGGAGCTCTTTTTTAAACACATGGATTGCTCCTATCACACCACATTCAAATTCGGCGAACCCAACGGTCCTAGAGACGGTTCTTATATCGGCGATGGGGAGAGCAGTGCGGGCGTCTTCTGACCCACAATTGTGTGAGCGAAGTATAACTAAAAAGTGTCCCTCCGTTCCCATGAGAATGGATGCCCATCACACAGAAAGAAGTCTACCGCTTGTGCCGTACGCTCTCTATTAAACACTTCAACAGTTCTGCGCAGAATTAGCAAAAAGGCAAAGCGAACAAATTGGGTCCGCGAAAATCCCTTTTTAGGAGACGGCGAGCTGTGTAAACAAATCAATGCCATCGTACGATCGAGTGGCACCACGGTCTTAGGGTAGCGCGGACTAGTTGTCCTGTTTTTGTCTTTTTACATCTTTTGGTCACAATTTCTGCACAGATTGGAAAAATTACCTGGATTAATGGGCCTTGCCCTTTAAGATGAATATTTTTTCAAACCTTTAGGGACTCTTTTTACTCTTTAGAATGAACAAAGCTCACAATATTGCGTACAACTAATGAAATCTTTAATCGAACTCAACGTTTGTTTACCAGCACAGCCTGATATAATGTAGGTCGTTTACACTACATAACAACTATTAAATCATGAGATTGGAAAACCAGGAGCTCAAGACATGTCTTGCTCACCTTGTGAAACTTGGTCATTTTGAGCTTCTCTCATTTTAACAGGTCATTTTGCAACAGGTCATTTTGTGTCATTTTGACTCGACATTTTAGCGGTGACCGATGGCAGGGGGCAGGCTAAAGGTCAGTTGGACTGTGCAGAACATGGCGGCACGTGAATAATTTGCCATCAGATTCTGCCGTTGACCGGGAATGGCACAGTCAGGTGGTAGGTGCAAGGGCTTACGCAAGAAGCGCTGCTTGGCGCGAGCCTTGATCCCATAAATTTATCCATTCCAAAGGTTCGAATTAAATCCTTAAGAAGCATGTTCTTGACTGGCATCCGCACTGTTGTAAGTATCCTATGTTCCGGTGCAGTATATCCTATGCCTCGTTGTCGATGCGTGGTGCTCTGTGCCCGTTGTGTTCGTCTCATATCAGCGGGACGCTGCTCTTGACCAATATGACGTCAACCCACAATCACCAACCCTGCGCAAAGAATTTCATTTTAAGGTATTTTTTTAATGATTTTATCGGATCCTTTTGTCGCATTGTCTGGTTGGTGGATTTGACCTATATTAACGCTTCTGACCTGAGGTAAAACAGTTTATTTTACCGTATGGTCATACAGCATGACAAAATACAGCAGATCCATATCGGAAATATCCTTCAAGCGCATACCCCTCGCCCAAGGTGTACTTGCTGGTATCCGGAGAAGAAATGCCGTCGGCATGACCCTGACAACATTGTCATCAATCATCACCTTAAACAGTAAGATCTTTTGATTACCACCAAAGGTGTACAAACAGCGATAGCCACTTGGAGAAAATCTCAGCATCATTCATCTTGTGATTACAGATGGATTCCTCAGGCTCTCGTCATTTGACGAGGGTCAACCAGCCAGTCCCTGCAGACGGCGTTGCCAATGTCCGGAGACACAGACAGACGTAACTGGCGGGCACGGCCATGAACAGACCAGCCAGACAGTCTTGCTGCTGGCGCAAGCGGGCTAGCGGGCAGGGGTGCAGCCAGAACCTTGGTAAGAGGGGGGGGGGGGGGCACAGGGTTGACAAGGGGCACCCCGACAGTGAAAAGCCCCCCCCCCCCCCGAAAAAAACACAATCGCCGGATATAACCCGTTTATTAGCACTTTACCCCGGATCGGCGCATGAACCGTCATTAACGCAACAACATCCCTGCTCACCGCAGGTGGCCAAATACTTGGCACATAGACTCCATTCAGGCTTAACGAGCCAAAAGCTGGAAAAAGGTTTGAGGGCCCACCGTTCGGTAGTGGGGCCCTGACTAGCACAGGACTCTTCTACTACCTCAATGTTAGGGCTCATTACAAGTTCTTGTTTCCATTTACTTGGCAGAGGGCCCCGGCCAACGCAAGAGAGCCTCTATCATTCGGGCTCCTGTTTCCGTCCCTGTCGTATAAATCTTCCCTTGACCAATTCGAAGCCCCTTATTGACACAGAATACCCTGTTAGGCTCTGTGGGCAGCTGAACGATACAGGACCTCGACCGATGTAAACCGCAGGCCTGGCCTGGCCGCGGGCGGGCCTGGCCGGTCCCTGCTTGGGGAATTGACCCCCAGAGATCAGACCAACACGGAGCTGACCGTTCGTTGTTCGTGATCTCTGGTCGAAATAGAGGGACGCCCTGTCTAAGGGGGTCTCTATAGGTGCAGGAGATCATCTCACTGACATCCGTGATCACGGTCCTATGGCCCTATGGGCGGGGGTCCATTATGTGACCTGAAGCCAGCTCTTCGGACCCTTCAGCCATCCCATCAGGCCCTTGACCTTTGGTCTCGAGAGACCCTTTGGCCCCTCTGCGGTTCCCCTCAAACACCGTTCCGACTTGGAGCCACTTGCTGCCACGAGACCCTGTTCGGCACTGTGGCCCCTAACCGACACAGGAGCCCCTCATTGTGTCATGGACCCCGGACACTGCAAACCGCGGATCTCGGTCTCGTGTTTGCTTGGGAAATAAACCTCAAGGGCTCAAACGGATATGGAGCCGACTGTTCGGTGTTCGTGGCCTCTGACCGACTTAGATACTCGGATTGTCTCGGGGGTTAGGAACCCCTGAGACAAACGGTGCAAGAGGACCTCTGGCCAATATTTCATGTTACGACTCTACGGGCCGCGATTCTTTGTTACTTACAGGCAGTCCTTCAGGCTCTTATGCCTTCCCACTGGGCCTTTGATAGCCGGTTCCGGTGGGCCGCACAGGCTTCGCTTCGGGCCTCACCAAACACTTCCCTTGGTCGGCTCGGGGCCCTTGCGAGCACAGGGCCCGCTGTTAGGCTCTGTGGGCCCCTGACAGATACTATACCCCGACCAGCGTAAATCACTGGTCCCGGTTTTACAGCTCATTGGGAAGTGGGTCCTCAGCCCCATGCCGACATGCGATCGACTATGTGGTACGGTGGTACCTGACCGATATATAGGCCCGTATCGACTTAGAGGGTTCCCGATTGACACAAAGGGACCTCTGGCTGTAATTTGATGGTCCGTCTTCGCAGGTGGTCCGTCTTCGCAGCCCCTGTCGCTGAGCCCTGAATAAGACTCCGACCAGCCCTTTATTCCTTCAGACCCACCACCTGAGTTCTTGATCGTCGGACCAGATGGGGCCTCTAAGTTCTTCGGGCCTCCTCGAACACTGCCTCTGGCTGACTCGGGGCTCCTTGACAACGCAGGGCCCCTGTTAGGCGCTGTAAGGCACAGAGCAATTTAAATCGCTGGCTCCGACTTTGTCCCTGCTTGGGAAATGGGCTCTTAGGCCCATGCCGGCACAGAGCCGACTGTGCGCTGCTGGTGGCGTCTGACCGAAAAGTAAACACTTATTGACTCAGCGAGTCGCTCGCCAGTGCGCATGGCCCTCCGGCTGGCATTTGGGTGTCCGATCCTGTGGGCCGGGCCCTTGAATGAGACCCCTGGCTGGCTTTTCAGGCCCATAATCGTAAATTTCGAGGAGCCCTTCGGGTCCCTCGGAATCTGCGGCGCTGTGCCGGGGCACAGGGGGCACGTGCCCGCTGTGCCCCCCCCCCCCCCCCCCCCCGCCTGCGCCACTGCAAGGGTGTCTGGCGGTACGCGTCCACAGCAATTAGCATATCTGGCAAGCCACCTCCATATTTGGGATTATGTTACCCCGATCGCAGCAACGCTCACTCAACGATGAACTTGATGAACTCAACGCCGAATGCTCCAAAGCCCATCGCTTGGTCGGGCAGGCGGTCTGGGCGCTATGACTCACCTACGGAGTGGGGACCACCAGGCGTCGATGTCTCCGACATGACCGGAAGGCCTTGAACACCACGTTTGCTAGAGGTGTACCACACTCGAGGTGCGAGCCACTTGAGAATCGATGCGGTAAACACCAGTCGTCAGACCACTGAGCCGGGCGCGAGGGCGAGCCTCTGGGAAGCCCAGTGTGCACGCGCTCGGTTCGTCGGCCGGTTTCTCCGCGGGCGGCCGTCGCCGAACAGCTCTACAAGATAAGAACAGGACTCCCATTGGCCCTGCGACGCCGGATGGCTGTGGCACTTCCTCTGATTCCCTCGCCGCGGTTTTATGGCGACCAGAGGCGGCACTGAACCTCCATTGCACTGGTCCCTGGAGGTTGCAGCCTTAAAATAGACATCAGCGTGCCAAGAAGAATAATGAAGGGTTATCTCAACTGTTGTGATTAAGGTGAAACACTGGCGGGCGCCGGAAACAATTTTTGGCTACTCTTGGCGGCTGCAGAAGTTAACAAAATACCGCTGGAATAGATAGCATGACAGGAATTAGAAAGCTAATTTGAGCCCAATCGCTGACAACAGGTTACAGGTACGCTCATCTGTAGCTAATGAAAGCTCTCAGGCTCGTTAGAGAAGGAAAGCTTAGACCGTCGCTAGCTATTTTGGCCTGTTGAACCCGGTGCCAAAGTCTAGGAATTTCTAGCTTCTTCCGTCATCGCCACAGCGTATCAAATGAATGGGGGGGGGGGGGGATAGCTGTGCGCGCCCCGCTTCAGCGAGTTTCAACCTGACTTAATTGAAACCAAACTCACAAATCGTTGTGATGCAAATCCTTAATAAACTCAATGCACCATACACACGCGCAGCGACCAACAGGCGCACAAGTCACAAACTTTCAATGACTCGGCACTTTCTATCAGCACGAATGCGTTTCTTGCACTGGCAGTTCTGTGCTGGACCGTTAAACACAGGTGTTCCACAAGGTTTCCTTTGGTTTTGCCAGCCCTGCGTAAAAGTGTGTGTGAAGTTGGCTTGGGGATCACCTGGCCTGGTTGTAAATCGTATGGGGCGTAGTAGCAGATAGCGGATTTCTGCGAAAATAGATTGTCCAGTGCATTTTAGGTCGGCGAATGCGTTGTAAACTAAGCCTTTTCAATGTGAGCAAAACTTCAGCGTAGCCAACGCCCAAACTGCACCACGATGAAACGCTGTACTGGCTTGATCTTTCAGACATCAGTTATGGGATAGGCTACCAGAAGCCACACGATTTCCTATACTCCATCCACACACACAACCCGTGGCACCGCGCCCATACCCACAATATTTCCTATACTCCATCCACACACAACCCGTGGCACCGCGCCCATACCCACATGATTTCCTATGCTCCATCCACACACAACCCGTGGCACCGCGCCCATACACACATGAGACTCATTCCTAACCAGTTGTACCCACCTGCTACCCACCGTTTGTATTTTCCAGTGCCATATTTCTACATTTTGGAACAATGCCAGGAATGTATGCACCTTAACTTGTTCTATTGTTTTCATATCTGTAAAAGACGTGTGAATGGAGCTAAATAATGACCAAACTGGCTTAAGCAGCGACATTGTGTGATTTTTCTTGAATCATCTAACCGAAGTTTCGTAAATATCTTACAAATACCCGTACCCATACCCGCGATTTTCTCCAAATCCGCGCCAGAGCAAATCCTTCGCATATACCACATAGGTACCCCTGGATGCAGCAGCCCGAGAAGAGCTCGAGCTACCAGCCTTCGGCAGGGCGTATGTTCCTCTCCGGGTGCATATTCACACTAGCATTCGCTGCTGATGGCCCGAACCACATTTTGTTCTTGAAATCTTATTAAACTGGTTTGCTCATGCTGCGCCTCTGCCGACCCGGGTACACAATCTAATGTCGTGTGAGGTGGCGACTGCTCTCATTCATTGCGGAGGGTATACCGATAGCCTCCTCATGCGGAGCTCTCTCTATGCTGCAATTTTTGTGCTGGAGACATACACGTTCACTCGCCTCATCGCCAATGATTTTCATCGAATCGAGAGGAATTGTTATTCGTTGCGGGAGTTTGTTATCAGATTTAAGCACCATTGTGATTGCCGGTATGCCAGTCTTGTGGCAACTGCATAGGATCTTATAGTTAAGTATCTGGTGTGCTGCTTGGCTTGAATGCAAGTGTTATGACCGCTGCTTCCATATGCAGCATTCAATGAAGGAGTAACAGGAGGCGTAGTAATGTAGAGTAGCCTGCAGTAAGACCATTTGCCGTGCTACGCACAAGGCACCACAAAAGTGTGATCTATGCCCCGCCGCAATACTGTATTTAAGATCCATGCCATAGCTGTCGATGTGTTCGGTAAGGCTGAGCTGTCGTGGTGCTTGTTTTGTTTTACAGATGTCTATCAATTTTTCATAGCTTAAGTGCAGAAAAATTATGTATATTCATAGGTATCGACTTCATACTAAAGAGACTGGGTGGTCTGCTATTGCTTATTATGAGCAACTATTTTTCCCATGCTTCGTGATGTGATCTTGACCATTGTTAAAGGGATGTTCCATATTTGAAGGTACCGGAGCAAGTATCAGTTATAATGAAATAAACTCATTTATAACTATTGATGCACTTTTAAGTCGAAAAGACTGCTGTAGACAACATATTTTCCCTGTTTAATAAAGATGCTCCTTAATAGGTCATTGCTTGATCATGTCATTGTATTTTGCGCACCGTTAATTAGCAGCCGATTGGTGTCTGTTATGTGTGGAAATCGTGGTCATGAACGCCAGACATGAGCGACTCGGCAATGAAATTTGTATTTCCCTTGTTCACCGCATGGCTAGTGTAATAGCAGGATTTGAATGACGTGATTGTCCCGCCATGGATGCCTTGGGTGACCTTGGAATAGTCTCCCCGAAATAGTTTGCACATTTTCTCGGGAGTGTTGCTCAAAAACTGGAGGGGTTGCGATCTTAAGAGGGGCAGGGCTGTGAACTGTACAGAATTATCTTCAAGATTGCTATTCCAATTAAAACCGCCGTAAAAATGTAGACCACTCCCGTTTAAGGGATCTTTAAGAGAGAACATCCCCATAAAAGGAGTTTTCCACATTTATGGGGAGTTTTGAACCAAACAAAAATATACAGATCATTCGGTGCAGTGCACAGCTCTGCCCTTCTTACTACCTAAGGTGCTCCAGTTTTTGAGCAATACGTCAGCAAAAATATGCAGACTATTTGGTGCAGATTATTTAAAGTTCACGCAGGCATCCATGGCGCCACGATCACGTCATTCTAATCCTGCCATCCCATTAGTACATGCGGCGATCAAAGCCGAGAAAAGTGTAGCTGTGGAGTCATTCATGTCTAGCTTCCGTGAGCACAATTTCGAGACATGCCGGCCGTTGATTGGCTGTCAATCAATGCTATGCAATGTAAGATGTTGCAATTAAACAAATACGTATTGAGCAGTAAATGTACTGAATAGAGAAATTGTGTCATCTAAAGCAGTATGCTTCACTTACTTATTAAGTTTACCAAAAGTTATAGGTGATCTTATTTATTATACCTGATGCTTGCTTAAATATCGTCAAATGTGGAGCATTTGCCTTAAGCCTTGGCATACGGCTTTGGAGTATACACCATGCATAAAAACATCATAGAGTTTGGTTTGAAATGGCACGCACTGCATAACTGGAAAACTTTGAATTGGCTTGTCAATGTCTGAGTCCATCATGCTTGCGAAAAATTTGTGCATCCACCAGTATTTCTTAACAACAATTATAAAGCAATTGCACGTACGTTTATGCTAAAAGAAAACATTAGTTCGTAAATTGTATATGTAAAATACCAGCCAAAACCCGCGACATAGTCAGCAATGTCCGCCGAAAAATCTGTGTGCTTTTTTCAGCCCGTGGGGCACAGGCTTGCGGGTTCAAAAGTGGCAACTTTACCACGAACCCAGCAGAGCAATTCTAGTTAAAAATATTGCCCAAAGATATCACCTTGCCACGAAACAGCTTGGTAAGGCAGAAAGGGTGCCTCGAGGGTGTCCCTGAGGGGGTAAACATTTGTCTTTGGGACCTAGGCGAGATAAGGCCCAGGTCCCCGGCCTACGCGAGGCAACGAGGTCTCGCCATGCATTACGACGCATCACTTAAAGTACCGTGCGCCGGCCGTTGCCGCATACCGTTACTTTAGAGTCGCGCGGTAGCCTCCTCTTCCTTCTGGTCTGGTTCTCTTGGCCGGCTGCCCATAAGTCGTCAGTTTGTCGGAATTCGCGAGCTATCGTGCGACCTTAATTTGCTGCAATGAAAAACTGAAGTAATGGAAAAACTGTGCAATATGAGGAAAGCTTAAACACGGTTGAACGGTTTCAGACAGCAATTTAACATATTGTTCGTGCTTTTTAGGCACATATGCGCTATCCTCGGGCATGCCACAGTGCTCCCTGTTGTCAAGGTTTCTAAAGGATGACACCTTCAGTGCAGCGTACTCCCTGCCAGCCCGGGGGGCATACATGCGTGCTTCGTATGTTATCATATTGAGGAGGGCATCCGGAAAGTACGAAGGGCATAGTGAAGAACGTTGGAATATCATATTGAAGTGTCGGTGCGTGATAAACATGACTGATGGTATCGAGTCCTGACTTTCAGGTTTGAACTTCGACCTCTTATCACGAAAGGTCAAGGAAGACCGGTAACCGAGGTTGATACCTTTCTATGTGGGACTGACAAAACCAGAACTGTTCGACAGAGACATGTATTGGTGACGACGTCAACAGTTTAGAGCTGGACACCCGGGGTCCGTCAAACATGCCGTGTATTGCACTTGTAAACCTGAACCGCATGAATCAGTCTATAAAGCGTGATATTGTTACCAGCAGACCGACGGGCGAAGGTTCTCGCGTCTGCTGGCATGTTACCAGTAGACCGGCAAGCGAAGGTTCTCGAGTTTGCAGGCATGTTACCAGTAGACTGGCAGGCGAAGGTTCTCGCGTCTGCAGGCATGTTACCAGCAGAGCGGCAGGCGAAGGTTTTCGCGTCTGCAGGCATGTTACCAGCAGAGCGGCAAGCGAAGGTTCTCGCATCTGCAGGCAGTCAGCCGACGAGCCACAGACCCCAGATGCATGGGCAAATTATTACTTACCTGGGTCCCTCGGTATTGATCACCAAATCATCAAACGACATGAATACGATTGAGGTTAGAAGTAGGTCTGTTGCAGGGAAACGTGCTTAGTTCTGCCTCAGAGCAGTGACCCACAGAGCTCATCTAAAGAGCTAGCGATTCACATCAACGCCATGACCTGGCATTGCCCCAGCGCACTGACATGGCTCGTGACTGAAACCCAAGAGAACGCCTGGCCACGCCCCAGCTCCGTCTCCGAACTCGCCGCCGCTTCAGATCGCGTCGTGCCTCGCTCCCGAAGCCACTCCGCCGCAGCGCCGGCCCGGCTCCGGCTCTGGTCCGGCTTTAGCCTGCTCAGGCCACGGCACCATCTTGCAGGTCGGGCGCGTTCACGCCCTCCAGCTTCGAGAAGATGTACTTGACCAGGATGCGGTAGCCCTGCTTCAGTACGCGACACTCGGCCGACTGGGCACACGCCTCTGCGGAGCAAACGGCCTCGCGACGTGACCAGCGGAACAGCCACGTCTCCACTTATCTCAGGTCGATGCTGACGGCTGACGAGAAAACGTTGCACAGTTCGCAAACGTGAGCTGAAAGCCCTGGCAAATGGGCGTCATGTTCTCGTGAAGCAAACCACTGAGCCAGACTCACGAGACGTTCATCCGACGGCCGCGTGCGGGAAGTTTTGAGGTTCACACATGGCTCCCAGCCCAGCGTTCAATGTCCCCCACCCTGTGGCAAACGACGCTAGATATATCGACGATAGATAACCTAAGCTTGTTGAGAGCGTCGTTAAAGCCTATAGATATTATAACAGACATGCGCGAACAAGGGCGCAGCAGTGAGGGTGATCCAGAGCGGTCGAGCTCTATACCTTCTGACCACATCAAGTATTTTGGGGTTTTGATATGTAAAGGATGCAATATGACAAATGCATGGCCATCGAGACGGGTCGAAACTTTAAATCTGGTAAAACTGCTCTCCAGTTCCCAGCAAAAGAACACAACACGTGTGATTACGGCTACTGTATCCTGCGCCACTACACAGTGACAGAGCGTGACGGAGCCAGGAGCCAAACTTCTTGTCGTGCCGTTTGTAGGCACAACACTTCAACTTCGGTTCAATTGTATCTGTTTTAAAAAGCTGACCGCATCAGGCTAAGCCAATGCCACGAGTGGCATGCCTCCCTCTGTAAGCCTTAAAGTTTTTCACTTGGTATTGGGCGGTTCGCACCAATTCGGTCCAAAATCGCATGAGGTCCGAAAAAATTGATATTGGCCTACGCGCCTGTCGAGACCCTGACGGAGACGTTTAAGCCTGGTTAGAAATGGATGGCAAGTGACGAACGTCTCAATAAACAGAAATGTTAAGGTGAACCAAGACGTTAAGGTCAACCAAGACGTTAAGGTCAACCAAGACGATTGCTATGATGATGCATGGTGTGACGTCACAGCGAGGCTTCTGCGGCATGCCTGCGTGCCTGCGTGCTGCAGTCGCGTGCCTGCGTGCTGCAGTCGCGTGCCTGCGTGCTGCGGTAGCGTGCCTGCGTGCTGCGGTAGCGTGCCTGCGTGCTGCAGTCGCGTGCCTGCGTGCTGCAGTCGCGTGCCTGCAGTCCCAGCCTTAGGGTGCACCCGTTCTGCCAGTTGGGGGGGGGGGACCAATGCGGAGCCCGGGGCCCCGTCTAGAGGTAGCCTCTGCCTAGGTTGAGTCTGATGCCTCCTTGGAATGCCTATAAGATAGCATTTGGGGAAAATTGTTATTCGATCTTCGTTTTTCAATAAGCTTTCGAAATGTCGTGGCTGCGCCTATGTGGTTTACATCTCAAAGTAAATCCGGCCAAGCAAAGGCTTCAAATGATTTTCAATAAAAGGCAACTTAATGCAACAAGAGGTTCCACCACAGCATGCCTTACCAAAGCTGCAGCAGTCAGGGTAGCTGCAGACGCCCTGTATGAAGCACGTGCCGGGAGGCGTGCCCTCCATGCCGACGACATCTCTGTATCGCGGTGACAGGGCCACCAGAAAACGCTTCCGGACCTGAACGGAGTGAGAACGGCGGGTCACATACGGAGAAGCGGAGGAGAGAGAATGGAAAAAGGTGGTAAAGAAAGTGAAGGCAAGAAAAAGAAAAGAAACGTAATGGGTAGGAGAAAGAAGGAAAGAGATTGAGAGAGAGAGAGAGAGAGAGAGAGAGAGAGAGAGAGAGAGAGAGAGAGAGAGAGAGAGAGAGAGAGAGAGAGAGAGAGAGAGAGACAGAGAGAGAGGGAGAGAGAGAGAAAGATAGAGAGAGGATGAAAGGGGGGAGGCAAAGAAAACATAAGCGAAGGAGCGAAAGAGAGGGGGAGGGGAAAGGAATGAAGAGAGAAAGAGGAATGGAAGCGGGAATAAGTGCGTAGTAGAAAGAGAGAGTGGACGTATTTCCATGAAAAGGCTTACAAACACGCCCAGGGAAGGTCTAAGAGAAAAGGGTGCAGAGGAGATGGGATAAATATCCCCACCCCCCACAACCCGCCGCATACCACCTGAAGAACCGTATGAGGTAGGAAAACGTAACTTAGGCTAGATGGATGCTGTAAATAAATATGCGGTCTTAAAAGACGTATGTTCCTAGCTCAACAAGTTATAGGTCAAATGAGGTGAAACCTATCCAATTTTGAATATTGTCCGTCGTTTTACTTGTTATTCCGGTTATCGCAGAGCTTGTGCTCAAATATACCGGACCGGGGCTATTTCATATCGCTGACATGGCATACCATATAGTAAGGATACGATATGTAGAATTTAGCTTCAGGTCGCTTATAAATTATCCAGTTATAACCTATATCATGGAATGCGTTCTCCGAGGAGAGCAGCTCGGTTCTCACAACTTCTGCAAGGAGATACGGACTTTCAGACTAACAGTGACCCGATATGAACTCGACCTGAATTGAATTCGTTGCCCATGATAACCTTATCATTAAAAGGTACAGGAGTTCGCATAAGCCGCCAGTGTTGCCAGGGACATTTCCTTGCAGCAAATATACCGCGGATTCATCAGCGCCTATTTTTACACCCTCGCGCTGGCCACATTTTTTACCTTGTCGGCCTGTAATTACAAATTTTTCGCAAAAATCTAGTTTATGTTTGCTCTTAATAACGAATGGTAATTGCATTTGCCGACAAACAGAACGATGTACATTTCACATCTGGCAATGCAATCCTGACAAAGACTATGAAACATGCTGCCTGCGGGAAACGTCCCCAACTGACTAAACGGCAGCCCAGTTATAGCTGTTGTGGCACCTATTGCAGCCTGTTATAGTGCGACTTCACATGGTAGCAAGTCGGCAAACATTCCTTCGCCGTATTTCAGCTGAAAGCTAGGATGAAGTAGCATGAGGTCAATAAGACATCAGATTTTGACACCAAGACATCAGAATTTGAGGGAAGGTTAGGGGAATTGTCGCTGTCGGTGTCGCTGATATGTTCCCTTCCCACTGGCAATGTGTTGGAAAATGTCTGATTTAAAATGTCTCGTGCGCTCGTCGTTTGCATCAGTCTCTCTGTGGCTGCGGCTGAAGTCAGCGGCAACATCCCGTCATGGTCACCTGGCCCAGTTTGAGAGAGCTGGGCGGGTCTGACGGCAGCTCGGGCGGCGAGGCTGGCGGAAGGAAGGGCGCTGCGCGGACTGGCAGCTGCAGTCCCTGCGGCACCAGCTCCGGCGACGAACGCTTGCCGCCTTGTGGACAGTTGTTGATGAAGCAGCCAGTGCTCAATCCCAGCTGCAGCGCCAGGGCCGCCCACAGCAACTGCGGGCAGGGGCAGGCCGGGGCGGCGGGTCAGCAGGACAAGCGCGGGGCCGCCCACAGCAACTGCGGGCAGGGGCAGGCCGGGGCAGCGGGGCAGCATAAGCAAGCGCAGGGCCGCCCACAGCGGCTGCGGGCAGGGGCGGACCGGGGGTAGCGGGGCAGCAGGAGTACACGCTGCATCGAATGATTTTCAAAATGGCTCTTTCAGTACACAACTCCATGCAAATGCTGAACACTCTCTTCAAGCAGTTCAATGGCATTCAAATGTTCGCCGATTTCACATATAGACCTTCTTACATGTCGTCAGTTGTAGTTCACCATTTAGACGTTTGCCATTTCGGCATGTCGCCATTATCCTCTGTCGCTGTTTTGTAGTTCGCCATTTTGACATTCCACTTTTTGGCACGTCGATCTTTTACATGCCACCAATAGGGAAGTCGTTATATCACGGTCGACAAAAAGGCATTCGGCAAACTGCGAATAGACCTTGTGTCAAGTCACGCGACTTATCATGTAACAAATGGCAAATAATAACACTTTCGCAGACAGATGCCACGATATGAGACGGCTATGTGCGCCGGAGGCCGCATACGTATGTGCTATGGGACGCGTCTATTAACAGACAGTTCAATGCACGAGAACGCCAGCCCTTTACAAGGTTGATCCCACGGATTAAACCTAATACACTAGGGAAGTGTAACTGAGGAACAAAAAACTGTAGTGGGAGGGAATTTAGCGGTTTGAAATTGGCTTTCATGAGTTTTTGCTTTAGAAATTACCTGGTGGCACCTAGCGCGTATGGCGTGTTGGTGAAAATGGAAAATGAAAAAGAATGCTGGCGTGTTGTGATTTGCCTTCAAGCTACGGTGTGTAGATTAGATTATTCGGTAATTTTATCAATTAAGTACAAGCCATGTTGGGGGTGACCTGCCATTGCTGTGCATGATGGCTGTGGTTTTAAGTTAATGTCTCATGTCTTGAGAATGTCAAAAGAATAACGAAACGTCGACGAAATAAAAGAAACAAGAAAGAAATGTGGTGCACTTGGAATGTTTTCTGTCGCGTGAGTTTTGCGCTTGTTTTTAACAGCCACTACCAAGAAAGCAAGCATTTAATACGCAAGAATGAAAGTACATCACAGGGATCACAAACCTTAAAACCGCTGTTATTTTGAACGACTAATGTTTTATGTATATGTACATATATATATATATATATATATATATATATATATATATATATATATATATATATATATATATATATACGTGTGTGTGTGTGTGTGTGTGTATGTGTGCGTGCGTGTGTGTGTGTGTGTGTGTGTGTGTGTGTGTGTGTGTGTGTGTGTGTGTGTGTGTGTGTGTGTGTGTGTGTGTGTGTGTGTGTGTGTGTGTGTGTGTGTGTGTGTGTGTGTGTGTGTGTGTGTGTGTGTGTGCTTTCTTTTTAAAGCGCATGTGTGTAGCCACAGCAGTCATGCATGGAACCCTTGCAGATTATATCCGCTTTTTTATAAAGGCACCTGATTTGTAAAGCTGAAGAGATCCAGTTGCAGCTCTCTCTTGCATACTGAAAAATAAATTGGGTGTATGACTTACGATGATGAGGATCGTTTAGTGTCCACAATATATGTGGCTATCTTAATTCATTTACACACAAGTCCTCAATGCATCAAAATTACAACGATAATACAGATGCATTTTAGTCAATATCAATGTTAATGAATGCATGTGGAATGCTGTAAATGTTCATTCCACGCATAAGTTAAGAACATGGTTCCCAGCCTTTCCGCAAATACGCTTAGGCAGTTACCCTCCTGTTGAGACATCCTTTTTCCGCTTTTTTCAATAAGCACGAAATGCAAGCCAGCTCTGCGTCTGGGGGACACAGTCCCAAGTTCATGTGCCTGTGAAGGGAAAGCAACCCCCACCAGTTTCACTTCGAACGTGTGAAAAAGGAAACGCCCGTCATATCGATGTCATGTATAATGCAGGTTGATGGTAACAACGCTGCTAGTTGAGCTGGCTTTTCCGTTACCAAGGGCTGATATTACCATACACATACTCGTTGCTTAATGAGCGTACCGACGCAGGGACGCAGCCCGAGCATTGGTAATTGTGGGGTGGGACACAGGGTCAACCAAGCCATTCCCCTGGGCAAGGCCCTCACCCACAAAAAGAGGTCATCGGATATGGCACACTTGATTTCGTGGGGAGCCCAGCCCTTCTCAAAAGCCAGGAGTCGCCAGTAAGCATAATGCTGTTTATGTTTTAAAGTTGATAAACTGAAGGAAGCACACCAGTGTCATTCATTTTTTTAAAAAAAATATGTAGACTCCTTCCAAGGCAATAGCACTCAGGGGCTGTATTGAAAATTGTCTGGGTTGTGTAAGGACATCCTGAACGCAGATCTAACATCGAAAAAGGCCGTATATTCGCATTCACATTAACCTGTTTTGGTCTAAGATGCTCAAATTTGTTCAGAATGAAAAAGGGAACGAATTACGTGACCTAGTTTCGGTCATTCGTGCTCGCAAGTCTTACAAAAACCCGACGCACGGCGTTGCAGTCTCCGGAGGTCACGCCTTACGCGCGCTGTGGACCCATATCGTTAGCTCCCATCTTCATTTTCATTGTCAGAAGGCCTCGAACAACGCAAGAATCCCCTGGCCTTCGGGGTCCCGTCCCTGTCGCCGTCCAGCAGATGCTACCCTGGTCGACTCAAAGCCACTTGCAAACATTGGGCCCTCTACCAGGCACTGTGGGTTTCTGGCCTATAAAGAAGCCTTCATTGCTTTAAAGGTCCCGACCAATGCAAATAGCGGGTTCCCATCCCGTCCCTGCTTAGGAAATGGGCGCTCAGGGATCAGACCGACACGGAGCCGACTGTTCGGCGTTGGTGGTCTATGATCGAAATAAATACCGGCATTGTCCAAGGGTGTCACCAATCGGTGCAAAAGGCCCTATATCTGATATATAATGGCCCGGCCCCGCGTTCGTGCACTCCGATCAGGCACTTGCTCATCGGTCCCGAGAGACCCCTCCGCTCCTTTACGGGCCACTCGAGCACTGTCCCTGGTCGACTCTGAGCTCCTTGTCAATACCGGACACTTGTTCGGCACTGTGGTCCCCTAACTGACACAGCAGCCACTCATTGACTTAGGGGCCCCGACCAACGTAAATCGCGGATCTCGGCCCTGTCTTTGCTTAGGAAATGAGTCCTAAGTCCAAGGCCTGACCCTGGAGTGTAATCTGGTGACGAACATTTCGCGTGTCGCGGTCGCTAAGATTCTACCATAGAAGTGAGTTTCGTAAAATGGGATTGGTGAGGCCGAGCGGAAGAAAAATAGCGCTAATTACACTAAAAACAAAGCATCTCCCGGATTCAACTCAATTTTCTCTCATTGACATACGGAGTTCGAGTCCCCTTAAACACAACGGAAAACTACCTACCTCGTCTAATACGTTTGCCTGCTATGTCTTCGCGAAAGATGTCGTCAGGCATCATTATAATTTTGTTAAGCATCGATCGTCGAAACCAGGTTCCGTTAATAGACGTAAGGTCGATGTCATATGGTTGCAGACGTTGTTGGATGTGCACGGCTTCGGGAGCCAAGAGTGTTAGTTGATTTGTGCGACTAACAATGTCCGCCATAGAAATCCCCGCTGATTGCCGCAAGACGGGTTGCAGGCGCCTAACTCCCATCAAGCACGATGCTCTAAACGGCTATTGTTAGTGGTCATTGCTAGACGAGACCGGACGGCCTGTGATCGGTGGCTGCCTTGGTGCAGCCCTTAACGGTAGTACCCAACTTTATCGCATTAAGCCCGGGGGAACGTGAGAACGCCACAGATTGTAGCCGTGTGACGCACGGGTGCAATCTGGTAATGGGTACAATCTGGTCCGTTCAACGTGGTAAATACTCCCCGCCGTGACAGATGCGCGCCCGCATTGGTGCTAAAACCAGCCTCGCACGCACCGCGCGCTCGATCGCGCCACCACGGCGAGGGGCCGTCTTTGCATGCGCTGCGGACTGAGTAGCGTACCCCTGTCGGGGCTCGCCCCTGGCAGACGTATATGAGGGTCCTGCGTGGCCGCTGAGGTGAGGTAAGCCGGAAATGCACGCTCCGAGGTGAGGTAAGCCTTATATGCGAAGAAAAATATGGGAGACTGATGGGAAAACAATGAATGGGTTTTCCATCACGCTAACACTATACATGTATATATATATATATATATAATATATATATATATATATATATATATATATATATAGTATATATACGCGTTATGTGAGGTGGCATCAAAGGGCATGATGGCACATGCTATGGTTTTGATGGTATTTTCATTGTTTTCTTTGATCTGCTAGCGATCAGTGATAAAAATTGATTCATAGGTATATTAGTCAAGGCCATTATAACACAAAATGTTTGCATCCGGTCTGAAAAAAATGATTCACTGAACACCTACAAGTCATCTGTGCCCTGATCCCTACACCCGTGTGTGTGAAATTATGGACAGGCCAAATTGTGCTAAATTGTCAAGTTATTTGCGTGTAAAGAAATGTGTTTTGGGGTATATTTACCTCAAGCTACACCTGTGACATCATAATTCCTTGAAACATTGGCTCCCTTACCACTGGAACTAGTGGCACTCGTATGCCAAACTTTGAGTTCTTGGTATGTATATAAGTATGTGAGTGTATATAAATACATGAGTATATAGGAATGTAAGCTGATATTTTCCCGCGATGCCACTGCTTCGCTATACATTATTTATCCTTACACCAGACATGTTCAGCGTTACATGTATTTTTTGCAATTTCGGTCTGCATTGATTGCATTGTTCCATTGGAAATTATTTTCTTTCACAAACAATTAGTTGAATGCATGCGCAATAACATACAACATGTCAGAACTATTTTCCAGCATCTATATGCTTAATGGGCGTGGTACTTCGAATTTCTGCTTATCATTTTAAATGGGCGCAAGCAGTGATAGCAT